GAGGAGGTGTGTCACTGGGTTAGGTTTTGAGTTTTCAAAAGACTTACACCAATTTGGGTCTGCTCTGTCTACCTCCTACTCTGGAGCAACATGTGCACTCTCAGTTACTGCTCCAGCAAGCGCAGTGCTTACCACATTCCCTGTCATGATGGTCACAGACTCTACCTCTCCAAAACCTCCTAAATAAACTCTTTTATAAGTTACTTTGGTCACAGTGTTTTATCACAGTCACAAAAAAGTAGCTAAGACAAATGCAGCCCATGTACATTAATCTCCAGGGGCAGGGCATGGTCATGTATGACTGTCATCATCCCAGTACACGGAAAACAGAGACAGGGCAGTGAGGAGGTGAAGGTAAGCCCGGGGCACATAGACTCAGTATCAAGAGAAAAAGGTTTCTTACTTATACCTGTAATGCATTCTGGGTAAACTCTGAGGTGCTGCCAAATACAGAGTGTGTCATTATTTCATGTATGAATAAACAGGGAATAAAAATGTTAACTAGAAATTCCTGCCTTAGGGATGTTGAAAGAGTCTTAGTGTGGATGGGTGGGTGGGTTTGGTCCCTGAGGACCTGGCTCTCTTACTCCAGGCCTGGGTGTCATGGCAGCTCCGTTACTTAGTAGCCAGGGACCTTGGGAAAGTTGCTTCTTATAAACTTCATATACCCGAGAGCAGCGATTCCTACATCTCACCCTGTTACTGACAGAATTAAATATGACCTGGTCCTGGTATTAAGCAAGTGCACCTAGCTGTCTCACTGCTGCCTGCCAACTACAAGGCTTGGAGGTGTGGAATCAAGATATTAATGATTCTTAACTGCCTTTCTTCAGTCCAAATGAGTTCACCCAGTCTCAGCTGCCAAACTGTTAGACACTGTCTGAAGTAAGCAGTAAGGACTTTGCTGGTGATGCCGGAGTCCTCTAGAAACAAAACAAAATGTTCTTCTAAAATGGAGCCAGAGTACCTTCTTGAACTGAAGAGGAGCACAACCCAAAGAGCTGGGGGCTTGAACACAGTACACGTATCGCCTCTAGTAACCTTTCCATGCTCCGATTCACTGTGGCTTAAGACCCCTGGGTGTCGAACCGACTTGACTACCTCTGCCTGAGTATCTTGCAGATGCTGCGTGTTTTCTATATGGCTGATGAGCCCGGCTAACAAGGGAAGGAAATCTGTCCCCTCTGCAGACCAGGCCACCTCAGATGAATCAGTCAGACACTGCTAAGCCACAGACTCTGCCAGCAGCATTTCCTGAACGCGACGCAGAGCCTATTCAAGGCCCGATGGTAAAGCAGATGCTACACAGAGAAGTGGCCCTGCAAACAGCCCTTGACCCTGGGTGGTTCCTCAGTCAAACCAGCACAGAGCTTCTCTCATTATTCTGCAAGTAATTACACGGTAGGGCACACACAATGGAAGATTTACTTTTCACCCTAAAATCTGTCAAATCTTAAAGGATAAACACATGACAGGTTATTATCTAACACTAAATAAAATTAGCACATAATTAATCAGGGGCCCTGACTAATTGCCAGAATCTTCTCTCAGCTCTAAGCATCAGTGTTGCCAGCATTATTATTTTACCTGAGTCTTTGGATTATATTTACATTACTTTTCATTATATTTACGACTTCTTGTTTGTAAATGATAGCCCACAGTCTCCAGGATAGGTAGAAGGTTGCCTACTAGTTCTTTCCCGAGAATAACAATGCTTTTAAACTGAAATGCCCGTGACATATCATTAGTATATAAAGTCGGCCACGATGGTCTAAGAAGACATCAGTATCTGCCACTCATGAAAGAGCAGGAAGGAATATAGGAACAAGTAATTATTCCATAAATGATCATTGGACGAGTTTAATAAAATACCGGTTCCCATTGTCCTTTATGAATTATGAGTCCCATGTGGATGCCAAACCCAACCAATTAGCTATAAAACCCCAACTTTGTATTTGGACACTGGGGCTTGAAAACCACAAATATAATTTAAGCTTCCCGGGTTGCAGGATAATTTTTACTCCATGTTCCACAGCTTTATTAAGAAAACGGGTATTTATTAGGCTTTTAAAATTAGAAGCAAATGTAAAACATATTTTTATGAGCACTTAGAAAAACGAGGCCTTGTTTAAATTAATAACTTGATAGGTTCTAAGAAAGACGTCACAAGGCTCTAAGAAATGTCACAAAGGCTGGCCCAAGTAGCATGACTTAGCTTTCCAGAAGCATCACCCCCTAGGTTAACCTTTAGCAAGCCATAAATTCTAGATGTCATTAGTCCACTGCCAATATATTTACGCATGTGGAAACCGAGGTCTGGGAAGTGGAACCCAGGATAAAAAGCTCAAGAGATGAACACTGGGAAATGACACGTTTCCGGATAGGGTGTTTCTGGGATGCATAAGCTACCTCTTGGCTAGGCATGGCTGCAAAGCAGGCTGTTAAAAATTATAGTCGAGGCATTGAGGAGGGGTTATAGTTTTACAAAGGACAATCCGAGCTAAAGATAATCTGGACACTGTCATGGAGTTAACCCCGGAACCTCAGGTCATGTGGAAGGCGGTGCCTCCTTAGGAGAGGCCTATGGCCTCGATTGTCAATCACTTCCTTAGAGTCTAGGACTAGGGAAGCAAACCCATGTTAACAGACTAGGAACAAGACATGAAATGTGAGCATGACCCTCTGAGAGCAGACGAGCCACCGCCTCTGCCTGCCATCCTCAACAAGTTTAGGATCTAGAACTGAACAAGAGGCTGCCATCTTGCCCTCAGCACCCACATACAAGCTATCGATTTCTTGGTAGAAGCTGCTACACTCTTGGGTATTTGAAGAAGGAAAGGACATGTGGCTGACTAATTCCCGTTTTCCCCAGCCGTGACCTTGTCTGTACCTGGCATACTCACCTCCACACAGTCCCTGTGCTACCTGTTTGCTGGCTAGAGCCAGGTGTGCTCAACCAACGAGAAGCCTGATAAAACGTGAGAAGAGAAAGGACATCTTTTTCAAGGCTTTCTGCCACTCTGGCCTAGTGCTCACTTTAGTGGTCCCTGTGCCTTGTCCGGGTAAAGCTGGGATGGCCAGCTCCTTCCCGAGGCTACTGACTCCTGATGGCTCCCATTTACTTCTTCACCCACTGTGGGGACATGAGAGTGTGCACCTCAGTGGGCACTGGGGATAAACAGTGTCTTAAATACCCTGCCATTTACTGGGCAAAACTTTATACTGAAGCCTGAGATAGCATTGTCTCAAACAGAAAAGCCGCATAGTCTTTCAAACTAAATGGACTTCTGAAAGCGCTCTTCTTGCTTGCCAGTCCTTTCTCTGCTGTTTCCTGTGATCTTCAGGGATGAAGAGGGACGCCTTCTGGGAGAAGAGCAATGGAGACTCCTCTTCTAGGTGTCCTCTTTGTAAATGGAAGAAAAATTAGAGTAGAGTTCTTGACTGCATCAAGAGGGTTAGCTTTCCAAACTACTGAGGACCAGCAATAGAATAATCAGGGGAAAGGGAAGGAGGTGGGGGTGAGGACGGGAGAGGCAGAGGGCTAGGTCAGCGGCCCTGGGAGCTGAGGGAATGATGGGATCCCAAGACAGCCGCCATTGCTAGGCAATGGATGGCCACATGTTTTAGAGTCCAGCCTTCGCCATCTTCAAAACCGTCATCAGGGAAAGGGCCCGTTACACCGTCAGCCATTTTGTCACATTTTTAAAAAGTCTGTGACACAGTCATTCCCCACATCAATATGGAGGAAGCATCACTGAAAACAAGCGCCATTTATTCAGATGATTAAAGCTCAGGTTTATTTTCTTCCTTCCAAATGCTGTGTAAACTAAATATGCTACATTCTATCTCTATGATATATATATATATATATATATATATATATATATATATATATATATCTCCCTATATGTTATATATACACTATATTCCCTATAGTATATATATATACTATAATATATATATATTATACTCTCTGTCATATATGTATACTATACTCCACATATGTCATATGTAATCCATATATATCATTTGACAAACATCATATATATGGAGTATAGTATATATAGTTTATAATGTATCTGTGTCATATATGCCATATATGTCATATAGAGTATAGTATATATGATACATGTAGAGTATAGTATAGTTTATATATAGTATATTTATATATATAGTTTATATATAGTATATAGTATATATTATAGTTCTCTCTATATACTCTCTCTGTATATGTCATATATGACATATATTATATAGAGAGTATAGCATACATGACATAAAGAGAGTAGAATATATATAGTATATGCACACATACACACATGTACATGCATGCATACACACATACACACACACACACACACACACACACACACACTCACACACAGAACTCCCAAAAGCATACATATAAAAGGAAAAGCATCTGGACTCTTGGGAGACAAATGCCAAGTTACTACAGGGAGCTTCCGTTTGTAGGGGAGTGGTCAGGGTCTCTCCACAAACTCAGGCCATGCAACCACAACCACCTGCCCTCTCCTCCCTTTCCCATCCCTTCCCTCCTCTCTCTAGTTCTCTAATCCTGACTAGGCTATACTTTTATTAAAAATCAGGTTCCAAAGCCAAAAAACAATTTGAGCATCCCTGATTTAGATGAATTCTAGGAGCACACACCAGCTGAGGCTATGAACAAGTCATATGGCAACCTCATTGTTTTTAAATGCATTTCTAGTCTTTAATCCCAGCACTTGGAAGGCAGAGGCAAGCGGATCTCTGCGTTTGAGGCCAACCTGGTCTCCAGAGCAAGTTCTAGGACAGCCAGGGCTACACAAAACCAACCAACCAACCAACCAAATATATTCCTGTCAAGATCCAGGAAGCTTGTACTTCCCACATTTAATCCCAACGAGAATAACTTTCTTTTAAATTGTTTAATTCCTAAAGAACAGGTCCACACTATCAGAGAAACTGGCCGTTAGGAAGAACTGGACTGCTCATTCACTCACCTGCTGTCGCCAGCATTTGCTACGTAGAGCTTCCCCAGAAGGCAAACCACGATGAGGGCCGTGCAGCCACCGGATATGTTATACGCACTCCTCTCTCGTTCAATTTGAAGGTCCTGGAGAAGAAAGTAAAGTTAGCGCCACTGTGCACGGCTTGTGACGAAAGAAAGCCTTACCGCCCTTCACTTGGCACAGTCTCGCAGACTGGATGTGCTTCCAGAAGGGGCCAGACAATCCTCGGCACCTAAAAAGCTTCTCTGGGTGGGGATATGTCACAAAATACCAGACCACTGCAGACCAGTGAGTGGAACCAAAGGACACACACACAGACACATGGGGCAAACATGCCAAGACGAAATGTAAATCCCAGCTAACAGAGACCACAGCTTATGGGAAATCTCGTCAGTGCACAGGCTGCCTGAGTTGCCAGGTGAGATACCAAATACACCTAGGAATGCTGAGTACCTGGGCATAAAACATGCTTTTAATACAAAGCCTTGAACAAAGAGTTCTTTTATGGCTCAGTAAAAAGAGGTGACTCAAAGAATGAATTCTCTGCTATTCAACACAGAGGCTTCTGAACTCAGTTTCCTCCTCTATAGCCACAGTTCACACGCTCCCAATGATGGAGGAGCCCACAGACACTTTCTCTACCTCAGGTATCGAGCTAAGGGCCTTGTGTGTGCAATTTCATTATAGCATCAGGGCCATCATCACTAACACATTGTTCAGATGCAGGGAAGTGTGGACACCACCCATATTCACCTGGATAGATTAATCTCTATCCAATACCGGTTGTCCTCCAAACCCTGTATTACCTGCCACACAACGAAGCCCTCAAGGAAAATTAAAAGCTGGCCAGCATCCCATTGATAGACGACATCAACACAGTTCTGTGTTACAAAGAGTCTGTGTCTTTGGGAAAACAAGAGCCGAGTAAAAATTTCTTTCTACACTGGAAGTCACCCACGGTTGAGGCAGAGTGAGAGAAAAGGTAGGCTGGGTAAAAATTAGAAGAGGGGGACCTGGAGCTAGTGGGGCCGAAGCAAGCTGGAGAAGAGAAGGGGAAAAAATTAGAAGAGGGAGAAATGGTATCCGAGCGTTCAGACAGTGCTGAGGTCTTGGGTACTTTTGTGAGTCCCAGAGTCTCGGAATTGGAGTTAGCTGTTTCAGGGGCCTCCTCATGGAAGGCAGGAAGAACATTTAGCCATCCAGCATTGGACCACAGTGGCTATGCTCCAGGTGTTAGGAACGGGGACAGAATAAGCAATAGCTTCCCAAGCCGAGGGCACAGACTGGATCAGCAACTGCTCAAAAAAAAAAAAAAAAAAACAAAAAAAAAAAAAAGAAAAAAAAAACCACCCACGCAGAAGATGGATTCCGCTGTCCTTGCATGCAAGAGTAGGATACAGAAGGGCTGAGTCCCCGGCTGACTGGGGCTATTAATAAGACCCTGTCTAAAAATGGTAAATAAAGAGGTAGGGGGAAAAGCCATACAGGAGGGAGAGACTAATGTAGGGACGGGAGCCAGCTGAGAAGCTGAGGAGTTACATGTGGGGGCCACGAAGGGTAGGAGGGGCATGAAGGATAGGAGGGGCATGAAGGGTAGGAGGGGCATGAAGGGTAGGAGGGGCATGAAGGGTGGGAGGGGCATGAAGGGTAGGAGGGGCATGAAGGGTGGGAAGGGCATGAGAGTTTAAGAAACCTGAGGAGCCTTTTTGGGAGAGGACAGCAGCTTCAAGGGCTACAGAGGAGCCAAGCATGAGCGCTGTTCAGTGGACTACACTGCCTTTTAGCATTTACTTACTTAACTGCTCTATAAACTGTTTCCTTGAGAACCGGTAAGAGGATTAAATTAGGTGGCATGGCAGGGCGGGCCTTAGCCACAGCCACAGGATCCTTCCCACAGCCTGGAAACTCCACAATAGAGAGCAGTGGCCATTCTTGTTCCCTTCAGACCCCCGGCATGTGCATCAGGCCAGTTAAACATTGCATTAGTAAGTGACTATGAAATGGACAAATAAAGAAATAGACTTAAAAAAGAAGGTCTGGATTCCCATACCAACATCCCACCACCTTACCCATGAAAGGAGAGAGAGAGTCCTACTCAGAAATCCCATGTTTACCAAGCAGATGCACATCGAGATACCAATGGGGTCAGAAGAACCCTTGCCGCGGCCGACTGCCAGCGGACTAGAGCAAAGGGTTATGACATCACGTGCCAAGGGTTATGACAACATGTGCCACGGATGGTAGAATGGTGAAGGGTTGGAGGGGCACGCGGCTCGTTGGGGAAGTCTCTCAAGGAAGAGAGGGGAGAGAAAACATCAAGACATCTGGATTTTTCTGTTGAGCTTCTAGAATATAAAGAATCCCTCTGTGGGAAGATATGTTAATTTTTTGCACCAAAAGCTAAAAAAGGTTGATTATATATATATTTAAAATATAATATATATTTAATATAGAATAAGTACGGAAACTGGGAAATCCAAGTCCACATCCGACACCATTCTCTTTTCATACTTTTCAAGCTTTGGAAATTATTCCTTCATAGTTGCAATCAATGTTTGTTTGAATATGTAAGTCTGAATGAAAGGCACTATTTATTAAAAAAATTCTCTGAGCATCCAAATGTTTGCATGCTGCGTATGGACTGGAATCTGAATGATGTTTGACAGGCTTAAGTGAATTATTAGTGCAATCCAAAAGAGGAAAAAAAAACTATACAAAGAGTCCGTGTTAAAGGACTGTTCGTGGCAAAGAATTCCCTAGGGATTGAAGCAAATAAGCTTATTCTGGATCATGAGTTGGAGCATTATTTATCATGTAAGAATGTCTGATTTTAAAACGACTTAATCCTGGGGGGCGTGGGCTCAAGACAGGATTCAACAATAAGATGTTCTGTTACAGCAGTGGAGTTCATATTTACTTTTAATGCTGGGAGACAATCTGGTTAGTTTATTCAGCTTGTATCTTAATATAAATTAATAAATTAACAGTATGGTGTTCTCTCTCTCTCTCTCCACACACAGACACACACACACACACACACACACACACACTATTTAATTTGCTCCTGCCTTTTCTACATTTTAACTGTGTATTCTTTCTGTACCTCACTCTGAACGAGCAATGATACTTTCTTATAAAGAACGGATTCGAGTCTAACGACTTTTTAAATACAAGAAATCCTGCTCCCACATGCATGAGCTGACCGGCCCCTCCCCCACACCTGTGAGGGGATACACATGTGCACACACACAGTATCCATCGCTGGGATTTGGATGGTACATTTCTGCAGACTTCATCCCCCTGAAGGATTCACTGACATTAACACACACTCTTCCATTTCTTCTAAAAGTGTGTGCAACTAGAACAGATTCTAAAAATAATTGCTTCTCTTCCCTCCTTCCTAGAAGCCAAAATAGCACATTCATTATTTTTTTCCCTACCCACACCACCTACTCCTCTCGAGAAGATTCAGAAAATCTTCGTACTAAAAGGAACATTGAAGGACCATCTGGGCGGCTCTTTTACTATGAGATTAAACATGATAATTGCAGTCAATAAAGATATGTTTACTATGGAATTAACTGCCTTTCCCTTTCAAAATCCTCAATCTTTCAAATTGGACTAAGCGTTTTTGCACTTTAGGTTTTAAAAACAAAAATCACAATGTCTATGTTTTTAAGCCCTTGAGTTTGAGGTATCTTTTTCACAAGCTACTGTGATCAGGAGAAAAGCTGTCTACTGCTGTGTGCTGAGCAAGAGATCCAGGACTTCTCTCCATTTTAGCTGCCTGTGGATTCCAAGACATACAGCTAGAATAATGTGCTAGCAAAACATCTACCCACTAATTCCTTCCAAGTGTGGTCTACATAGGAAAAGGGCCGGAACTGACTCTCTGGGTGCTCAATCCAGAGGCCGGATGCCCAGTGTGGGCAAGGTGTTACCAAGCAAAGCTCAGTTACTCTGTTGCAACTCTTTAGACAATATATTCCTGGCAAGGCTCATCTCTGAATCAAAGAGAAGAGCCAGTTCTTACTCTGCGTGGTTTTATTTGCTATTTGTTGTTGTTGTGGCAAGGCATAGGGGCTGAGTGTGTGTGTAAAGCGAGGCTCCCTCAACAGGAAAGAATTGCAAGAAAAAGCATATCTATTACCCAGAATGGTTGTAATTTGATTTGAAAGTCTCAGAGATGACGCAACTCCAGGCCCAGCCTTTGTTGCTCACCAGTTCCAGGTTGTGAAAAGAAAGCACTGCGGATCAGCAGAAGAAAGCCAGCTCCAGGCAGTTTTAATATACCTGGTAGCTCCACCACGCTCCTGCCCCGCTGGGTTATAATATGGTTCTGAGCACACTGCTAAGAGTGTCAGTCACAAATAATAAGCTTCTGCACGGTTTCAGTATCCGGGTCTCATCCTGGCTTTTTCTGAGAACAAGGCCATCTGCCAGCTAGGCAATGAGTTTCAAAGAGGAAAAAAAATAAAAAAATTAAAAACCGGGACTGTCCAATATCGCCACCTGCTGACCACTGTGTAATTACAGACCCATCACTTCCTAGAAGAACTTTCTGTTGCAAACAAAGGCTAAACCAAACTAAGCTTAAATAAAGACGCTTACTGTTTTGCTTTCTCTCTCTCTCTCTTTTTTTTGTTTTTGTTTTTGTTTTTTTTTTTGTTTTTCGAGACAGGGTTTCTCTGTGTAGCCCTGGCTGTCCTGGAACTCACTTTGTAGACCAGGCTGGCCTCGAACTCAGAAATCCACCTGCCTCTACCTCCCAAGTGCTGGGATTAAAGGCATGCGCCACCACCGCCCGGCAAAGCTTACTGTTTTAAACTTACCATGAATAGACTAATTGAAATTCTAGACTTTATAAATTAGTAATTATCTTTGCATTCATTCTTATGCTTTTATAATATCATTATATATATTTGACTGCTCTTCCAGAGGGCTGGGGTTTGATTTCCAAGATCCATGCAGTGTTTTTCAACCAACTGTAACTCGAGTTCCAAGGGGATCTGACACCTTTCTTTTTTGGATATTGCGCACATGTGGTACACAGACATATATGTAGACCAAACACCCATATACATAAAACAAAAATAAATCTCAAGAAAGCTATTTTCTCCCTTACTAAAAAAAGTTTTTAGGACATTCTTCTCAGCTGCAAAGAACTTGTATGCATCGTGTTACTGGGAAAACCAGGGTCCCCTTTTGGGTTCTTAGTCTCCTCAATCAAAGAATTTAGAAATAGAGTCAGAAGAAGGAAGCCTCAGGACAATTTGTTTGTAGACTCCAAGGGGAAAAACAACAGGGCAAGCAAGCTGTCATCTCAGAAGTTGGGGAAGCAGGAGAGAGAAATCTGTGGCTTTTTGAAGTAGGGTCTATGAAGGGTGGCATGTTCAGCCTTGGAGGTTGGCAGAAGAGGAGGGGGACTTCAGAGAAAAGCAAGGAAAGCTCAGAGTATCAGGGGAGATATAGTTAGGCTTGAGGAAGAAAGAAGGAAAGGGAAGGGTAGGCAGCTTGCTGAGTGCAGGTGCCACAAGGCCCTGTACTGAGAGAAGGGCTTCTGCTAAGTACAGCATTTAACTAAGTGGATACTTAGCCCTTCCATAGCCTTAGCATGCCCTCAGGTGACCCATGGTCTCCCGTGAGGCAGGTGTGTGGCACCACAAGCTAGATTAATTCTTGGGGAAGGAGAAAATGGGTGCACTGTTCTAATTTTCGAGCAGATGAGGCATGTCAAGTCTCCACTCAAGGCCAGAGGTAGATTCCATTCTTTTGGCTAAGAGGAAGTAGCTTAACAGGCCTCAACAAAACACTGGCACTTTATCTTCCATACGGTAAGTTCAAATACTACAGGGGCCATTTTTGATTCTTCCCTTTCTAGGGCTACCAGGGAAATGACAGGTGAGGTCCAAAGTCGGCCATGAGGGAGGGGTTCTTCCTCAATGGCTTCTAAGTCTAAGAATATCTGCTCAGCTACCTACCTAACAATACTGAAAGGAAGTTATCAAGGATTCTGACAGTCTTTTAGCTTTCCCCTGAGCTCAAATATTGTAGGTGGTGAGTTCAAAGGCTTTTCTGGCTTTGTTACAAATCTTTGACAGCCATCCTAGTGATGGAATTAACTTCTATGAGTCTAAAGTCTATTCAACCCAAACATTCTTTGTAGAGGGTGGTGTGAGGTGTGGGTGGGTGGTGGTGCTGGGGGTTGGAACTAGGACTCAGAATGGTTATCTCATTCACACCAATCACGCTGGGCCAGGAAACAACCTAGCTGCTTCTAACCACTGTTAGAAAGTGGACTTGAGGCCGGGCGGTGGTGCACGCCTTTAATCCCAGCACTTGGGAGGCAGAGGCAGGTGGATTTCTGAGTTCAAGGCCAGCCTGGTCTACAGAGTGAGTTCCAGGACAGCCAGGGCTATACAGAGAAACCCTGTCTCAAAAAAACCAAAAAAAAAAAAAAAAAAAAAAAAAAAAAAAAAAACCAAAAAAAAAAAAAAGAAAGTGGACTTGAACCTCCAAAATTGGAGATAAGGAAATTGGTTGCATTTAGCATTTCAAAAACAAAACCAAAACCTCCAAGCTCTGCTTCCAGACAGGGAATCTCCAAAACACCTACTAGCAAGAGAACCAGGAAAGAAAACAGATTTTATATGAGGTGACAGTAACCTTTCAGCTATTATTTTGAGAAAACTGAAACCGTTTCTATGCTGTCAGTTCTGAAGCTCACCCCATGCAATCAAGTTGCCAAGTTTCAGAGATTCTCCTTTCGGGAGACCACAGCTGGTTTTCCGTAGTGGAAAAAGGAGGAACTGGCCCTGCCAGTAGGAAGTCAGATCCAAGACAAGACACAAGAAAGGGGATGGAGAGCTAAACCTGTTCTGAATAGCATGCACAGCGAGTGGTCAGAGGTCACCGCCTCTCCACACGACTCACACGGAAAGGAACCGGTTCAGAGAAGCACAGGGTGTCTGTGCTGCTCTTGCCACCTCTTGTTCAAATCATGCCTTTTGTTTTGTTTTTCTGTTGGTCTAAATTTTGTAAAAACTACCCATATTCCCTAGAGACAGGTGCTCCTTGTTCTGGCTTGGGATACACAATGGAGTGCTATCATCATTTTGTTACTGGCTTTGACATCATTTTAGAACATCACAGTTACATAGATACTTCTCTCTAATCCCTTAGGAGCAAGTCCACCCAGGCCTGTCAATCAACAGTCATATGCCAAGGTGATAGGAAGAAAAATTGTCCCTTTAATTAGATAAAGCATTTACCACTCCAAGGAGCCCCCAATTGTCTAGGCAGCCTCGAAGCTCCTCCCAACAGAGCACTGTTCAACCTGCCTGCTCTCCTGAGTTTTAACTCAGAACTCCTAACTTTCCCTTCTTTCCTTTCCGTTTGTATTTCACTTGCTGAATACCTGATAGTTTATATTTTAGTCTTTCTTCTACTCCCATTCAGGTCCAACAGAGTTGTTTCTTAGCAAATGTTTATTGATTGGATGGATTACATAAAAATGATATATCCTAGGTATCTATTCACACACACACACACACATACACACACACACACACAAATATTTTCACAAGAAATTTCAGGCAGTGAACTGCCTAGTGTTGAAAAACTTGAAAAGACAAGCCTTGGGCGCCTTCTTGGGTATTTATCTGAATAAGCTTCCATTGACAGTGCTGCGGTTCCTGGGGAGGTCTTCATCAATGCGACACTGACCTCTAGTGGATGGACTTGAGAATACAGCAGTCCCAGGCAAAAGAAGTTCGGCAGCCCTAAGCAGTCACTGACAGAAATTAAAATCCCAAGGTCACAGGGCGGTGGTGGCACACGCCTTTAATCCCAGCACTTGGGAGGCAGAGACAGGCGGATTTCTGAGTTTGAGGCCAGCCAGGTCTACAGAGTAAGTTCCAGGACAGCCAGGGCTACACAGAGAAACCCTGTCTGGGGCTTTAGAGCCACCACCAACCTGGCTCTAAACACTCTTAACTAGTCTCTACCCTCACACAGGTTGCTGCTCAGAGGAGAATATCATTGGAACCATAACACTTCCCAAGTGAAGTCAGAGCTGGGGGAGGTCATATGGTATAAGGCATCCATAAGTTCCAGGCCAGCTAAGGCCACGCAAAGAAACCTTGTTTCAAAGAAATAGGGTGGAAGGGGCGGGGCTTGGTTAGTGGTGTAACTCTAAAGATAGTGCCGAGCAAAATGGAGGGGAGGGAAGAGAGAACACGTAGGTTTTGTTTTCACAGGGCTGGGCTGGATTCCTTTGTGCTTTGCTGTCTGGGAGGGTCAGGTCAAAGAATGCATGTTGGCCTAGATCCTGAACATATAATCTGGCAGAGTGGCCCTAGCTGTCCCTCTGCCTGGGTATGTAAACCAGGCTGGCTTCAAACTCAGAGATCCCCCTGCCTCTGCCTGAGAAGGCTGGGATTAACTGCACATGCCATGCCAGTCTGTGCCCAGTTTTAAAGGAAGGGTACTTGTGACTGTTTTACTGAGCATGGTGTCCCAAATACTTGGATTCCATACATACATAACAGATGGCAGTCCACGCTCACATTTCAATTAATTTAAACCATACCACCTGGTGTCAACAGGGGTCTGATGAAACAGAAGGAATAAGGCAAGCATTTAATAAGTAGTGTGTACCCTGTGCTCGCCCTCTTTCACGGTCTTAATTTCTGTTGGCAATTATTCCAGACACTGTATCTTGCTATGACTTTTAATAAGCTTTGTTGCAGAAGAGAGATATACAGGCAGAGAGACCGCGGCTTCAGGGACACCTTCCCAGCAAGGAAGTTATGTCGCGAGCTACAGTCGTGAGCTACATCAATTTTGGCAATACCTACCATTTCCTTGAAGGCGCTTTCCAGGGCCCCGATGACCAAACACTCATGCGGAATCTTCTTCTCAGTGAAGAAGCGCGTGGGTGGTGTGCTGGGGGAGCCGGGGGCACCCACACCTCCACGCAATGAGGCTGCGCGGGTTAGGGTCCTGCCGTGGGCCGGGGTGCTCTCTGGCTCCTCCCCCAGGCAGGTCGGAGGAAGGATGGCGGAGTTCTTCAGGATCTCCACAATGTCTTGAAGTTGCTGTGTGACATGATGCTGCAGCAGGCGCGATGCCACCACGGCAGCCCCCGAGCCTGCGTGGCCGTCAAACAGGGACCAGTAGTGGCAGGAGATGCCCTCGGACTCCTGGGGAGAGAGCGCGACAGAAAAGAAGTGAGGACCTGGATAGCCTCTGACTGGCCACGCTCTTTCGATCGATATGTCTCTGGCCTAAAAATCATGGGATCAAATATGGTAAAACGCACAGAGGAGGCCCTTAGGGTAGTCACTGCTGCTATGGACACCCAGGGGATGCAGTGGTCTCAGTCTTCCCACCTAGGGCAGGGGCTCAACTCATCAGTCAGTAACTAGGTCACTGCTCTGAGGAAAGGCTGTAACTCTAATTAGGCGACTAGGGTTTGTGATAAAATTTCATACGAACAGTCATGCCTGGAGAAGTCCGGCTTGAACGTCTTATTTCTCACCTTCTTGATGCAATCCCAGGCTAGGTTTGGCCCTAGAATCTTTGGAGAAGGCCCTTTCTTAAAGAAGTAATAGACCCGTTTTCCTCAATCAGTGCCCTTACCCTCACGGATAACTACACATTCTTCTGCATCCTGAGGTATTTTGTTTTGTTTGTTTTTACAAATCAAGATTTATTTATTTATTTATTTTATGCATATGAATACACTGTAGCTGTCTACAGACACACCAGAAGAGGGCATCGGATCCCATTGCAGATGGTTGTGAGCCTCCATTCGGTTGCTGAGAATTGAATTCAGGACCTCTGGAAGAGCAGTCAGTGCTCTTAACCTCTGAGCCATCTCTCCAGCCCTATCTTGAGTTCTTAAGACTTGCTTCTCCCCTAGCCCTGAAAATCCAGTGCCGTCCATACAACATGTAACAGATAAGTCTGCTTTCCCTATGTCCCTCTGCCTCAGTTTCCCACCTGATGACATCTATCTGCAGCCTATGTGCCTTCCTCTATCATGGATTTAGCTCATGCCAGGCCCCCTCCTAGGTGCGCATGCATGTGTGCATACATGTCTGTGAGTGCACATGTGTGTGCATGTGTCTATGTATATGGGTCTGAATGTGTGTGTGTGTGTGTGTGTATAGGCTGACACTGAGTGTTTTCTATTGAGTGTCTTCTAATTTTTTCAAAATTATTGGTTCTAAATTTTGGATATGTGTCTGTTGTGTGCGTATGAGTGTAGGTTCTCAGAGGTCAGAGGCATAGATCTTCCTGAAGCAGGACTTACAAGCAGTTGCTAGGTGCTAGCTGTCTGAACTGGAAGCTGGGAACAGAACTTGGGTTCCGAGCTAGAGCAGTCTACATTCTTAGCTGCTGAGCCAGTCGTCTTTTGTATTTTTGGAAACGGGGGTCTCTCACTGAGCTGAAGCTCACGGGAACCTAGGGCTCCTTTTATAGTTAACCTGGCTGGGCAGATGGCCCTGTCTCCACCTCCCTCCAGCAATGGGGTTTGGGGCACATGGTACTACACTCAGCTTTTACATAGGTGCTGGGGATCTGAACTCATGTCTTCATGCTTGCACAACAAACGAATCCATCTTCCCTGCCCCTCTCCAGTGGCTTCCTAGAAGTCTTCAAGGTGAACACTTTCAGAAACCACACAACTACTTTATACATGCAAGCCAGGCATTGTGGCAGACACCTGTGATCCTAGCACTCGGAAGGCGGAGGTAAATGAGTAGGTGAGTTGAGATCCTGTCTTACGACACCCCTAAAACACAGAGGTGTACTATGTATGTAACAGCACGGTTGTAGATGGTATGATATAAGATTGGTTAAAAAAAAAAAAGGTATAGGCGTGGGTTGTTTTTTAGGGTGTTTTTTTTAATAATCCAGGGCAAAATCCACGGGAGGTCAGCGGTACAGGAAGAGGTTCTTGGTACTGTGAGGCCTAGGCTGATAGCTTCGGAGAAGTTCAGTCTGTAAGAAGGGGAGGTCACCACAACACTAGACAATAGCGACAGCAGGTGCAGAGACTGTGGCAAGAAGTGAGAGGAAACCAGACCACAGTCATGTGACTCCACGGGGCTGAGAGGCAGGAGAGGAGGGAGAGCGATTTGACTGCTTGACTTCGTGGGGTAGTGGTAAGGCCACTGGCCCCTACAGTATGATTTAGTCCACGAGTCCCAGAAGGCCATTCACGGAGGTGGTGACACTCAAGCTGTATTGTAAGGACTCAGAGAGAACTGTCTGAAAGTGAGGATTCCAGCTAGGGATCTGTGCCCTAAAAAGAAGTCGATCAAATTCAGACAGGAGCACGTGCACTCAAAGCACTGGATAGCAGAAGGATAACTGGAAACCAAACTCAGAACTGAGGGTAACAGAAAGACAAACACCTTAAGGAGTAGACACTTGTGTGCTAACCCCACTTCCACACACGTTGTTCGCTGGGTGGGGGATGGTACCGGTTCAGCCACGGCTTTTGCAGGTTTTGACCTGGCAGTCAAAGATGTGTATCTTATTGTTGAGATTTCCTGACACGAGTCGCAGGAGATAGTAACCTCGTGGGGGAGGAGCTAAGGGGACTATACACAAGGCACGGTGTACGGTGTGCAAAGCCAAAGCGCATGTGCAGAGGCTGCTGCTGGCAGTACTATCACCACGTGACCTCGGAGAGTCAGTCACTCATGCCTTTAGCTCTCTGCCAAATGAAGGGCCAACCTAGAGGACCTCCGTGCCACTGCCGACTCTCCTAGGATGCGGAAACAGATCAGTATGGCTGGAGAAAGTGGGGGAAACCTGGCTTTAAAGAAATAACACACATGCTAGGGACTTAGAGGTGACAGGGCCTGGCAGCCTCGGCGCAGCCAGTACCTAGTGGCTAGTAATAAGGGAGTTAGAAAGTATCTCCTCCCCTTTCTGCTTACTGGTGACTGGGAGAGTCATAGGATCCGTACACACCAGCTCCCAGTCTGTCCTGAGGCAGAGGCTATCTTTCTCCTCTCCCCATGTTCCTCTCACTTCCTGCTTGGGTCCCAGGACCAATGCCAGAAAGCAGGGCTAGCCCCTTGCAGACAAGCATGGCTGAAATACATAGGCCCAGGGTGGTGTATGGAGAAGTCAGAAGAGCCTGGGCCTTGGCAGCCTTGCTGGGGAAGCCACAAGGGCTGTACTGTTCTGCCTTTGGGCTTCTGGCCATGTAGACTTCATGGCATTTGGGTATCCATGTTTGTTGGCTTCTATAACAAGAGCTGAGGCCACAGAAAAGAAAGAGTGGTGTGTTTATACAGTATTCTGGAACATGGCAGGTAAAAGAGGGAAAGGAAAATATAAAATAAACCAGGTGCAGGCACCGCAAAGAATTTTAAGTAGGTAAGAACCCGGGACAAGCTGAGCCCAGACCAGGTTTCTCAATTCTTAATTTGCAGGCATGTATGAATAGAATTCAGAGTCGGTAAGTCTTCATGTTTACAAACCTCCCAGCTTTAGAACCTCCTTCAGGGCTACAGGGCAACGGTGATTTCAGCAGTACCTTCCCTTGGCCGAAGAACCAACAATACTGTCACCCCCAAATACCCCGGATTACCCTTTACCGCTACTTTGATTACAGATGTGACCAACTGCACACCTAAGCTGACATGTTTTGCTACATCAGTGAAAGTCTTAATAATGTCATATCACAAATAGATTGAAAATAGCTTAATTCTAAGTGATTGAGTTATTTTAATCACTTGAAGTAATTTATTCCCTTGGTATAAAACCACCCATGTATTTTTACTTTTTTTTTTCCAAAGGTTTTTATTTATTTATTATATGTGAGTCCACTGTAGCTGTCTTCAGACAACCCATAAGAGTGCATCAGATCTCATTATAGATGGTTGTAAGCCATCATGTGGTTGCTGGGATTTGAACTCAAGACCTCTGGAAGAGCAGTCAGTGCTCTTAACCCCTGAGCCATCTCACCAGCTCCCTTACTTTTTTTAAAAGAATTATTTTACTACGTGTGTGTGTGTGTGTGTGTGTGTGTGTGTGCAGGTGCATAGATGCCACAGTGTGTATGTGCAGGTCAGAGGACAACTTTAGGGGGTTGGTTCTCTCCTTCTATCTTTTTTATTATTTATTTATTTATTTATTTATTTATTTATTTATTTAATGTATATGAGTACACTGTCGCTGTCTTCAGACACACCAGAACCAGAAGAGGGTATTAGATTCCATTACAGATGGTTGTGAGCTACCATGTGGTTGCTGGGAATTGAACTTAGGACCTCTGGAAGAGCAGTCAGTGCTCTTAACCACTGAGCCATCAATCCAGCCCCTCTCCTTCTGTCTTGTTGGGCCAGGTTCTCTCTTGTTTTTGCTGTGTTGTGTGACTGTTGTTTGTGTGTTGGCCTGCGAACCTCTGGGTGATTTTCCCATCATGCCATGAGGGTACTGGGGTTAGAGACATGTGCCACTGTATCAGGCTTTTTCCATGAGAATGATCTCGGGTTCTCAGGCTTGAATGGCAAGCACCCACTGAGCTATTAACTCACGGCATTTTAAAAAACATAAACTTTGGCTGGAGAGATGGCTCAGTGGTTAAGAGCCTGTATGGCTTTGCCAGCACTCACAGAAGGTAGCTCCAGCTAGCTGCACCTCCGGCCCCACAGACTCTGATGTCCTCTTCTCGACTCTCTGGGTACTTGCACTCACACATGCACACCCCCACCCATGACATGTATACATCACTGTCACCATCGAAACAAACAATAAAAATCCCAACATAACCCTGCTAAGTCTGGACTGAATGTCACAAGGCTAGACAAAAAGTTAAGGGTCCCCTCCTTCTGGCTATGCTAAGGGAAAGCCTGGTCATGGAGACAGCAGCCTTACTGCCATATGTCGGCTATCTCTGACCAAAAGGAGCTTTCTCCTTTATGAAGGAGGAAGGCAGATACCAATCAGGTATTTGATCTGCCACTAGAAACCAATAGTGATCTAGGCTACCTGCTGGCCGTCGTCATGGTCCGCAAGAGTGTGAGACCATGTCCTTCTACTGATCTGGCTTAGCCCTTCCCCTGGGCTCGGTCTCCTTCTCGGTTGACAGCCTCAGCACCAGGGGAAAGGGGCAGAAAGAGAAGCTGACTCTCTCTCACTGTAGTCAGCCAGACCTGTTGTCTCTCAGCTCTCA